CTGGTCTGGTTTTGCTTGGGATACCCACCGTCAGCTCAGAACCCAGATTTGATCAAATTCCCTGAGCTCTAACTTTTTTTTGCTATCCCCCGATGATCRAAACTCTCTATGACGCRTCCCCTATTTACCTGATTACTAACCTTACTGAGCCCGGCGGTACGGACGATGACCACATGGATATGGACAGCGTGGGATCGTGTTACATTGGACCGACAGCATGATGTCAGGTTCGGTACCGGACATGTTTGAGGTTCGGCCTGAGCCGGTATCGGCGTACTTCAGGTTCGGGCACCAGGGTGATTTATTTCCAGGGTCGACATCATCACGACTATTTATTTCAGGATCAACATCATCATGGTTATTTGTTTCAGGGTCGGAACCGCCACGGTGGCTTACTTTCAGGTCTGGAGCCACTATGACGATGTATTTCAGGTTCGGAACCTGGACGGCAGGTTATTCCAGGTTCGGCGCTATCACGGGTATTTAACTCAGGCTCGGCACCATCACTGCGGCCATTTATTCCAGGTTTGGTGCCACTATGGCGGTTTATTTCAGCTTTGGGACCACTACGCTAGTCTATTTCAGGTTTGGGATGACTACGCTGATGTATTCCCCACCGCGACCTATTTTCGGGTTCGGGACCATCCCAAGGGGGTATCTCCAGGACCCGAACCACTACGGCAACTCATTTCAGGTTCCGCACCAGCGCTGCGGATTATTTCAGACCCGGGGACACTATGTTGGGTTATTTTCAGGCCGAAACTACCTCGACGTTGACAAAGGTTTAGGTTTCGGTGATGATTTGGTATGGGTGCGRCACTCAGGTTCAGGTTTGGGATTACACCGGTGAGGCTACATTCCACGGTACACTATGGAACAGGGAAGGTTTGTTCAGGATCGGTGCGGCATCAGTGCGGTGTGGGTCACTGTATCATTATCAGATTTCGGATTAGGCATACCTGCTGCTCAGATGGCTGGAGCTCTCTGTGGCCTCATACGATTATCAACTGTGCGGCTCAGCCTTCAGGTCTGAAAAGGGAAATTGAGATTCCGAAGTACTGATCTGGGAATGGACATCAAGCGGGCGCAGTCGGGGGTGCCTGGTGCTGCGATTGACCGGGGGCCAGTCCCGAGCGGTTTGGGAACAGCGAAGGACTGTGGCCTTCTCTGAGCGCCCTTCGTGAAAACAAGGTCGAGAGCTGAACGGAAGGGGATATAGGGAGGAACCAGTCATTCTATAGGGGGGATGTGCACGGTGTGCCCARCGCGATAGGSARGCRGGGACAGTTGACAGACRGAGGATTCGGGAARCATGCAAGGTGTACGCAGTGCACCGCRGAGTCGCAGGCAGTCACGGAGTGCGRGACGAGCTCGAGGCGGAGACATCGGCRCCCAGGCGGTTACGCARGGAGACGAAGGGRGAARTGTTAATGAGGGTGCGASTATGAGAGAGRGATTTGGTTGATGACACGGCAGCGCACCAGCGCACTGAARACTGGTATATGGRCATCTCTTTGTCATRTGGTGAGAAGAAGCGGCGAGATACTTCGTTAAGGCTTTCTCTTTGCCGTAAGTACGAAGTGCAGATCTGGTCAGACACACAATACTAGTGTGCGTATGCCGGGAGGGAACCA